CCTCCTCTCTCTCTCTCTCTCTCTCTCCCAATATTTTTGCGTACTGTTACAGATTTCGCCATGATGATTTCCTAGGAAGAAAACGAAAGAAGAAAGAAGCAAGTAAACTATGAAGCGTCTGGATAAATATAATTGAATCATATTGATGGCAATTTAAGGATGAAAAGATTCTAAAAAGGAATATAATTCGATTAAATTGGATCGGAGAGCTTTACAGTAATTTTCCATTATTTACCTATATTCATCCCAAATAATAATTCACAATTCCTGTGCTTTTGTCATTTTTAATTGTATTAAATAGTTTTGAGTTCTGTAATTGTTACTCTTCTTCAAACCAATTCAATCATATATTTCCTATTTAAATTGATGCTACAAATTAGGCTCAAATAGGTATATTGGCTGAAATCAAAACATTTCATTTTTGCTCGTGAAAATTTCCTAACTAAATTATCCCAGAAAAATATCAGATACATAATCAGAGAGGAGAAAGGGAAGCTTTTCTTCTGGTTCCTCCAAAAAGTGATTTTTAAGCAAAGTTTTCTGAAAGCAACATAATGGGTTCAACAGCAGCTGGCGCCACTTATCAAGCTTACAACCAACTGATCCGATCACCATCACTACATTTATCATATACAAGACCAATGCAGCAATGTGGTATCATTGAACAAGCTGAAATTGGTAAGTCATCCACCTGGATATGCAAATTAATTTTGATGAATTGAATTGTAATATAAGATGTTAACGGTTTAGCTACTTCTATTCTACCGTAAAATATCTTGGTAAAACAAGGAAAGAGAGGGTAGGTTGAGAAAAATGTCAATTTTGGAGGAATGAGATTAAAAAAAGAGATAACGGATGTTAAATTTAGCAGACAGTTTGAAAATGAAAATAAGCACTTTGTGGTCTCTGCAAATGACAATTTTAATCTCGTCAAAGCAATCAAGAAAAATAATTCATTTGTTAACAAATGATTGAATATTTCACTGGAAGGAAAGGAAGTGACACAATTTTTAACATTTTCAACATCAAAATAGTTCAAAAAAATTTACTGATTAATTTAAGCCTTTGGTTGCAAAAATTGTAAATTTACGAAATATTCAAGAATGGCAGCATTTTTGAGACGAATACAAACTTTTTTAGCAATAAACACTTGCAAAAACTGTGCAACCGTTAGTAATTTATTGAAAGATAGCAATAAAAGGCTTAATTTAGAAGATTTTTTTTGCTAAAACATCCCTCACTTCCTATTTATTTAAATAAAAAGTTGTGGGAGTGTGTTACATTCCTACAATTTTTTATTTAAATAGTAATGATTGCAGCTTTCATGAAAGTTTCCCTTTAAAAAAAAGTTCGCTACAGAATGCTGCCACTTGTGGTTGTTTTATAAATTTATAATGTTTGTAACCAAAGATTTAAATTAATCAGCAAATTATACAGTTTTCTGTTATAATATCTTAAAGAAATCAGTTAGAGTACAAAAGCAAACAACATGGACAGTAAAATTATCTCCCTCAAACATTGTCTTTGAATATTCTTCGTGAAATTGGATTTAAATAACTTTACAGTGGTAAGTTGTCCAAACAAGTAAATCAATCAAAAAAAAAAAAGAAAAAAGAAAAGAAGAATATGATTCATTAAATTGAGAGTGATAAACAGAAATCATATTTGAAATAAAATTGATTTCAAATACAAAACTATTAATTGACAAATCTGAAGTATATTTTAGAATAAATGTTTAAACACTTTCTTATGATTTCTAATTAAGTATTTACACGGATCCACAGCTCCATTCCTATTTGTCATTTTTACCAAGATGGTATAATTACAGGCTCTAAACATTTGTAGTAATCAAAATCAGCCCAAATTATTTTATTATTTCCTTGCAGGGCGACTTCCCGTAAAATGACAACATTTTTTGTTACTCTTTCCGGTTTTATATGGTTTTTCAATCAACTCACCTTGTCTTACCTTTATTGGAATAACTTTTGAAGCTACTACCACAATTTTTCCTCATTTTATTCAATATCATGCAAAATGTTTTATATTTTTCATGTATTTTATTCTTTTTAATTCAATTAGTGAAATCAGCTAATTTCATTAATTGAATTAAAAAGAATAAAATTACATTAATCTATGTGCTGTTGTTTTTATCATAACTACATTTAATATAAGGGTAGCAAATAAGATATGAAATTGTGATTTCATATAGCACGAAAGTTACACTTTCAGGTGAACTATTAGAAGGATGAAAAGATATATCAAAGTTTTTTCATGAAAGATAAAAGATAACTGGAAGATAGCACTTCTCATCTTAAATTATTATCAATAAAATAAAAATGATCACTTGGTTAGCCAACAAGAGAGAGTTTATTGATTTGCTTGGTATTACTAAATATATTTTATCAAGCATTTTGGTAAAGATTCTTATCCCTCTATCTTCCATCACTTTTAAATTTTGTTTCAGTAATTCCAAAAGATTAAATTTTATTTTCTATCGGGACAAAGAATTACTTCTTTAACCAAAATAGCACTTACTGATCTGCAAAATTTCATTTGAAACTATTTCAAATATGTTTTCGAATTTCTTTTTTTAGCGAATTTTATCTTAATTTTCAATTTTTTTTCTGTCCATTATGTCTATTCACAGCCACCGACTTATTCCAAATGCTGTTGCATTTCGTATTCTGTGTTTG